TTGAGCCTATCCTTATTTGGGCTCTGGAAGATGTGAGTTGGCACTTCTCAAGATTTCTATATAGTTCCATATGATTGTACAGATTTACACTATTATCTTTTCTGTATGTGTTTTTTCTCTTTATTGTATATATGCTGAATTGGAAGTGATTTTATTACATTAGGACCAGATGACCCTTTACGTTGGGTAGGTGCTTGTTATTATCACTATATGCTCCACTCATATAGGTGAATTGCTTTTAGCTTTTCTACCTTTTTCTACAGTTCTTTTAAAATTAAAATAGTAACTAAGATAGTCAGGGAAACAAGTCGTTAATTGACTGCGCTAAAAAGTAATGTAATGTTTGAGTTGATATTAGTTTTTTTTCAGCCTAGATCCTGTATAGACTTTAAACACAGCAGCAACACATTCGTGCAGTATTTTATCAATGAATAGACTCAAGGAGGTCTGCTTTTTATGCATAAGTGGTTTTTGGAAGCCACAGCTAGACATTGCATAATAATGCTTACTATACCTAAGCAGGTTCAGCCAGCAGATGAGAGAAAGCATGCAGTTCAGCAGGAAACCAGCTTTTCATTAAAGAAGAAAGACACCATTATCTTTACCATGTTTATGTAAGTTGCACCAGTACAGCGTTTGCAGGACCATGGGACCTTGTCTCAGAACAGCCAAGGAAGCATAAAAGTAAAAGGATAGAATGTTGACCTTCTGGGAGATAGCATAATGGCCTGTATCTGCAAGTGTGATCTAGGTGGTTTAACTTAAAATATTCCTAAGAAAATAAATCCAGTTTTTATACATTTAATGAGTTAGCAGGCATTTTCTGTCCTGTTTGCAATAAATAAAACATACAGACATAACTGGTAATTTAATAAAGCATTCATAAATCCAATCCAGGAGAGAACAATATTAACTTTTAATAAAAGTAATAACTGTTTAATAATATGTGTCAGTAAATGTGTGTTCAGTGTGTGCTGTTTATGTTTTTTACTTCATTATCCGATGGTCTGATCCAAATCCAAAATGGTCTGATCCAAAATGATCCAAAGTCGACGACCCAGTTACAAAATGTACACTAAAAATTTTTTATCCACATGGTCTGTTCTTGTTTACATTTTGCGTGTCCGTTACCAAGATACCACAGTGTACTGCTTAGTGAATAACCCCCCTGGTTTCATTCATAACATAGTGAGAAGCATCTCCTGGAAGTTTAATCTATAAAAGGAAACAAATTATGCTGCTTAAAGAATAGCAATGCTAAGTTCTAGATAAACAACAGACTGGACAGACAGACAGATAGATAGATAGATAAATGTAGTGTTAGGTAAATACCCAGAGATATCAGATGATGACCTCAAAGGTAAACACCCAAAGGTATCAGATGATCACCGCAAAGAAATATACAAAAAGTCCCCAGATGTAATTTATATCTTCTATGTTTTTATTTGTTTTACATAATAACGTGGACAGGTACTTGACAGTACTGAGGAAGACCATTTGTGGAGATCGAAAAAGCGTTTGCTGTTACATCTGGGGACTTTTTGTATGATATTATTTGCGGTGATCATCTGATATCTTTATAGTAAAGTAGCTAATTTTTACATTTTGTACAGTTCTGTATTATTACTTCTATCAAGGAGGATATCCAAGCCCGCATAGGCACCTGTGGAGCCTTATATATAGAGCCTCATACGGCTCTATGTTTGTGATTGACATTCTTTACTAGCACTTTAATACTTCATGTATGTGTTCTGTTTTATCAATCGGATTGAAATCTGGGGAATTTGCAGGCCAAAGCAAAATCCTAAATTTGTCATATTCCTATAAAATTATTTGCAGTGTAGCAGGGTGCATTATCCTGCTGCCATCAGGAAACACCATTGTCACGAATGGGTGTACGTGGTCTGCAACAATCTTTAGGTAGGTTGTACGTATCAAAGTAACATCCACATGAATGCCAGGAATTCCAAGGTTTCCAAGCAAAACATTGCCAAAAGCACAACACTACCTGCCTACTTCCCATAGTGCATCCTGCTGCCATCTCTTCCAAAGGTAAATGGCGCACACCCATCTGGTCATCACCCTAATCTAAAAGAAGACGTGATTCATCAGATCAGGCAACCTTCTTCCATTGCTCCCTGGTCCATTTCTGATGCTCACATCCTTATTAAAGTCACATTTGGCAGTGGACAGAGGTCATCAAGGACACTCTGACTGGTCTGTGGGTTCACAGCCTCCTACACAACAAACTGCGATGCACTGTGTGTTCTGACACTTTTGTGTCATGGCCAGCATTAAATTATTCAGCAAATTGGGCTGCAGTAGTACATCTTCTATGTGATTGGGCCAAACAGGCTAGCCTCTGCTCCCCACGTCACCCATGACCCTGATGCTGGTTTACTGGTTGTCCTTCCTTGCACCACTTTTGGTAGGTACTATGCATACTGGGAACATCCCACAAGACTTGCTGTTTTGGAAATGCTCTGACCCAGTCATATAGCCATCACTATTTGCTTTTTGCCAAAGTCACTCAGATGTTTTCGCTTGCCCATTTTTCCTGATTCCAACACATGTAATTCAAGAACTGACTATTCACTTGATGCCTAATATATCCCACCCATTGACAGATGAAAAGAGTTTCTGGCTGCAGGAAGGCAGATAGGGTGTCTGCAAGACCCAGGTAATAGGTAAGATTGTTAGCAAACAGTTCAACTACTGACATTAGGGGTGGTAGTGGTGGTACCAGTACACCCTGGCACCATAACCACCACAGCATTAACCTCTAAAATTCAATATAGTTTAATTTAATTTCATATCATTAACATGCTTTGCCAAGTGTTTGCTGCAATATTGGAATGAAGGAACAAGGAACTGGAATGAAGGAACAAGGAACTGCAGTTTCTCTGGACATTTTTCCAGGACATTTTCTGGACATTTTTCTATGTGACTATGTTTGCATTATAGAGAGTCAAAAATGGGTCGCAAGAGAATACTGAGAACGGGCAGCAGCTGAAATAGCCTGCCCTTCGGTCGGTCTCTGCTCAGTTCTCAAGCTGATTTTTGCTCATCTTGTGCCATTACAGAGAGAACATATCTGAAGCATATTAGACTGGTCCCACCCATACGGGCAGTCCAGATCCAAAATGCCAGCAAGTTCTCTCTGCACGAGAGACACAGCATATTCTCTTGCGACCCATTTTTGACTCTCTATGTTTGCATTATTTTTCAAGTCAGTTTTTAATTTATATTCTCACTGTTTAGTAAATACGGTCTAAAGAACCTGATTCCAAATGAAATGTAAAGCACTGGGTAAAATTTCTCAAAGATTGGTATTGTTACTTGTAAAATTACCTGTTTTTAAACAAAAATACTGTGCTCATTTTATGTAAATCTTTGCTAAAATCATGTGTTTGTACTGAGTTTGGTGAGTTTATATGTGACGCACTGTGCTGAAAGTATGAAATAAAAGAATTTGGTTTAGTTACATCGTTATAGAAAATTATTTATACAATGCCATCCAATATAATTTAAATTTATGATCGAAATATGTGCAATGCTTCACAAATTCTTAGGTCTGTTCACACCTCATTAACTGGCATGATTTACTTAGCCTAATGTATACATACTAGTACAATAATGGCTGACTTTGACATTGCAGATGTTTGCAAACTTTAGAGGATGGAAAAAATAACAGAAACACCACGTGAAAAAAGGAGTCAAACTTTGGAGTAACTAAGTCACAATTACAAATGCAGCTCAGAGAAGAGTCACATTAGGGAGAATATGTCAGCTTTTAAAGAGGTCTTAGAATTAGCACTTTGATATTTGTGTTTTCAATGCAACCTGAGAATAAGTAGAAATGTATGAGTGGTAGGTGTACTGGTCACAAAAACTTCAAAGCTAGTACATGTGTCAGGGTAATATTGTCAAAGAATAAATGACTCCATATGCCACACATTGATAAACTGGATTTGTAAAGATGAATAGTGGTCACATGTGCTCACTAAGAGATAGGAACTTAAAATGAAAAGCAAAAGACACCTAGAAAGTTTGGAAATGTCCAGAGTTAATAAAAGGAAAGCTCTAGTATAATACAATGGTCCCACCTGTGGCGGAACTACCACGGTCCCACGGTCGCAGGATTCACAGCTGCGACTGGGCCCGGCACTCCCAGGGGCCTGGCCGCCACGTGAAGCCCTGTGACCAGGTTGCCCTCCTACCATGTGGTGAGGTGCCGGCCCCGCGGTATTACCATCGGGGTCGCATTGAAGAGCCCATCGGGTGGCCCATGCTTTCAGGGCTATGTATTTCCAAGGGCCTGGTCAATACTGCCGCTATTTAGCATTACGATCGGGCCCCTTGTGATGCTGTCAGACCGCTGGGAGTAAGTGACGGCCCCGTTCACTTTCTCCCAGCTTACACAGAGCCGTGCAAGAGGAAGTAGAGCAGATGCGATGGACAGGAGAGGCGGGAGTCAGAGTGGAAATGACGTCATATTCCAGCCCCAGTCTCATTAAGCAGTGCGCTGGGGAGGGGGAGCAGAGACAGAACAGCCAGCTCCCCCTGCGGCCGCCAAAGGAGCTCCCTCTGCAGCCCCTATGCGGCCGCCACCAGAGCTCCCCACAGGTAGAAATTGTGTGTGTCAGTGTGAGTGTATGTGTGTCTGTCTGTGTCATTTGTGTGTGTGTCTGTGTCATGGTGTGTGTGTCTGTCTGTGTCATGGTGTGTGCGCGTCTGTGTCATGGTGTGTGTCTCTGTGTCATGGTGTGTGTGTGTCTGTTTGTGTCATGCAATGTGTGTCTGTGTCATGGTGTGTGTGTGTCTGTCATGTAATTTGTGTCTGTCTGTGTCATGGTGTGTGTGTGTTTGTCATTGTGTGTGTGTGTCTGTATGTCATGGTGTGTGTGTGTCTGTCTGTGTCATGTAATGTGTGTCTGTCTGTGTCACGGTCTCTCTGTGTCGTGGTGTGTGTGTGTCTGTGTGTCATGGTGTGTGTGTGTCTGTGTCATGTGTGTGTGTCTGTGTCACGGTCTGTCTGTGTTAAGGTGTGTGTCTGTCATGGTATGTGTGTGTCTCGGTCATGGTGTGTGTGTGTTTCTGTCTGTGTCATGGTGTGTGTGTGTGTTTCTGTCTGTGTCACGGTGTGTGTCTGTGTCATGGTGTGTGTCTGTCATGGTATGTGTGTTTTTACTCACCTTTTTTCCCCCCCACGTCATGCTGGTCTCTCCCCGACTGGCCCTGCCTCTACGACTGAGATCATCAAGCTTGATGATCTCAGCCAATCCGCACTGACACAGGAAGCACCTCTAGTGACCGTCTGAGTGTCTGTCACTAGGAAGCAATGTAAACACTGCCTTTTCTCTAAAAAGTCAGTGTTTACATTGAAAAGCCAGCAGGGACAGGCTATAGACACCAGAGCCACTACATTAAGCCGTGTGTGTGTGTGCGCGCCTGCTAGTGAGTGGGCTTGCTTGTGTGTGTGTGTGTGCCTGCTACTGAGTGAGCTTGTGTTTTTATGTCAATGGCCTTATGTATATCAGTGAGATTGTTTGTCTATGAGGCTGTGTATCAATCATCTTGTGTCAGTGAGATGGTCTGTGTCTGCATGTGAGTATGCTTACTGTATAATTAAAAATTTTACTCTGAGAGGACCAATATTTTATATTGGAAAAAGATTGACATATATATATATATATATATATATATATATCAATCATCTAGGGTGGCAAGACATAGCCTTACATATTACATGCGACAATATATGGCGTAATGACTTATGGGGCTGGCATAGATTTTTTTTCCAGGGCTGCTTTGGAATCCCCAGTCCGGCCTTGGTGTCGGTGTATCTGTATGTCTGTCAGTGTTTGTGTCTGTGTGTATATATGTATTTGTGTGTCTGGGTATCAGTATGTGTGTCCCTGTATGCATCTGGCCTCAATGGTACATTAGTGACATTTAGACAACTGATGTCATTGTTAGTCCATACATACAGGTTTACATAATGCAAGGCATGTGTTACTTACCAAATCATAGTTTAAAAAAGGGTTAAAGTTATATGGTGTGTATCTGCATGTATGTCAGTGTGTGTTTGTCTGTTTATCTGCATGTGGTAGTGTATGCACCTGTGTGTCTGTGTAACCTTGCCACACTCACAACAACTCCGCCAATCCTGTCACTCAATCATGCCATACTCATCTCCCATCGCTCTGCCTTCTTCACCCTATCACACTCACCTTCCCTGGCACTGTCACACTCACTCCCCAATCCTGTCACACTCATTCTCAATTACTCTGTCACACTCTCCATCTTTCAAACTGCCACACTCACCCTATCACATTAACCCCTTCACTCTGTTATACTCACCCCAACAATGCCACACTCACCATGTGGGGCGTGAATAAGACACATGGAGGGTCTGGGTGGCATGAATGTGACACATGGAGGGGCTGGGGGTGTGATGCATGGGAGGGGCAGGGCAATTTTCGCACCGGGGCCTGTGTTTTCTAGTTGCGCATGTGGGTCCCACCTTGTATGATTCAGATATTATTGGTTAAACTCTCCCTTTGAAAACACCATATATATCATAAAAGACCGTCCAATCAAAAATATGAAATATATCATTCTAGGATTTGGCAGTGTTAAGGTTTTTTAGGTTTTGTGTATCTACAATCAAATAGTCAAATAGGGTTATTTACTAAAGTGGGACTTCAAAGTGTAGCCAAACTTAAAGCATAGCTGACTGAGAATTTTTCCAGTTCGGCTATCTTGACCTTAAATTTCAAATTCACTTTTAATTTTTAGTTTACTGAATAACCCTATAAGACTGCTGGATTCCTTTGCATTTTTGCAGCCTCCCTCTAGACCAAGCCTTCATCTAGACCTTAGGCACTCCAGATGCTGGGGCTTACAACTCCCTTGATACTTTGCAAGCATTCTGCCTGAAATAGCATCATGGGAAATGTAGTCCACAACATCTGGATTGCTGAGAGTTGCCTACCCCTGATCTAGACTATGTCAGTGATTTTGGAAAGACGGTGTTAGTAGAAACACTTCATAACAGGTTTACTGCTGTGCTATATACATAGTATATCAAAAGATATGTGAATGGTGTAGTGGCCAAGGTTATACTTATGCTTATTTATAAAAATTCTTATTTTGTATAAGTAAAAAATCACAATGTTGCTATATGCATTCTCTTAACAATCTGGAAAGGATTTCATTGTGTATTACTACATATTCAAGAACACATTTATGAGTTTTCTGAAAATAGAACTAATATATTTTTGTTTTGAATGGAAAGTGGAACGCTGTCAGGTTTTCAAATAATTTGAAAGCGTGCTATTTTCAAGCAACTTCGGAATGTTAAGCTCACGTAACTGGCAACATTCCAAATTGTTGGATCAAAAACAATCTGTTCAGAAATCACTCAAATATAAATATATACACGGGTAGTGTTTGCGAAAAGTTCCTAATCTACAATCACAGTCTGGAGAAAAAAGGGAAAACATTTAATGAATCAAACTTTGAAAGCCCAACTTGCAGAAATGGTCTGAGTGCACGGAAAAAAAATTAAATCTAAATATGCCTTTACTTATAAAAAAAATGACTCAGCAATCACATGATGTACCAAAGCCAAAACCTTGAAACAAATTCATTCAACATATGTCATGAATCCTTGTGAAAGAATGTATGATTCAGAGCAACATCCTGCAAAACTTCTTTTTTTTTGGGGGGGGTATTAAAAAAAACCTTCTCTGAAATGAAAGCAAGCTTTAACAGCATGCGTCTACCAGTGTGGTGTAAAATAAATATTTTAATAAGGACATTTGAGAAAGACTTCATTTCCTGTGAATGCCAAAACATCCATATATTGCACAGATGGCATGCAGGCTAAATGCATTGGTCTGTGCTATTCGTGTTCTTCATCATTTGAAAATACAAACAAAACTGGAAAGACAGGCGATGGGATTCATTTTTTTCTATTCCAGAACTCAAATGATTTCTTTTTTACTCTTCTACTAAAAATAGATTACAAAACGGACAAATGTTCTAGTGACGATTCGTAGTTGAAATTGGTATTAAAACTTAGTGATTAAATGTGTTATGAGCATCTTATTCTTCGGGCATTGAAAGGTTTAAATTGCATTTTCGATATGCTATTTATCTTCTGTAGGAAAGATCAGTACAGGGAGAATGGATTTAAAGGGAAGCAAATATCAATGCTCAGTTTTCAAGTTAATTTCGGCAAAATAAAAACAAAATACCGTCTGCTTTCTCGAGGAAACTGCCATGTATATATCCGTTTATACATAACACACATGATTAAGGAAGTGAGTTACCATTTGTAGCTGTATATGTGTTTCTTGTACCCAGGTGTGCATAAACATTTTAAATTGTCCCTAATTATGCATGCGTCAGCTGTAACACTTTGTTGCCTTCTTGTAAGTTAGGCAGAATTCCCCACAATAATGGCCATACCGAGGAAAGGCACTTTTTCCGCTAACACTTGGTGGTACGCAGACTTAGGGTTCTCTAGAATTATCCTTCTTTTCTTCTTTTTCTATATATTTTTGAGGATTTGTTTAAAAATCTTATATCACCGGTCTTAGTATAAGCTGCTAACTTCACTTCACCAAAGTTACTAACGTTTGTCCAAGTTGGGGATATTTTAGCAAAATATAAAGAAGAACCATTAGGATGATGACTTATTAATACTAAAATAAATGCACAGGAGTAATGTCTATTTAGTGAAATTCCAAGAAAAATAGTTGCAGTCACTTATCATGATTATCAAGTTGGTGCAGTGCCAAACCGACAATATAACAAAAAAGATAGTCCAGCACACTTCCTGAATAGCTCTAAGTTAATAAAATGCTTTAAAGGTACATTAATGACATCTGACATCTTCTATAAATAACATTTTGGAAATATGGTTAGACCATTCGGTTTCATGTGGACACACTGTAATCCAGTGAATGGATCTTTCATAAAGTAATTGATAAATACTGTGGTCAATGTCTGTATTTTCTCTTCCGAACGATCCCTGGATTGTACCAGATAGAAACATAGAATGTGACGGCAGATAAGAACCATTCGGCCCATCTAGTCTGCCCAATTTTCTAAATACAATTATGTAAAAAATTATTACTTTCATTAATATAGACTGAGGACATTGGGACATTAGTGAATAACCATGTAAAGCATTCTTGAATACCTTGAATGCCCAGAAACAGATTACCCATAAGTGGCAACCTGTGGCCAGGGATCAAACAGGGGTGCCTGTCTGGACCTGGAGCCCTGGGTCTGACTGTGAAAGGGCTCTCCTTGAGCCAGCATGGAGATAAATAGATCTCCCTGTTCTGTCTCACTTGCTTGAGGGAGTTTTGCGGTATGCCCTGTATTGGGTGCAGATCACTTTAACGATTCAGAGCCCTGCAGTCAGTGAGCTGAGTCATTAAATGAGAATCTAAACTGCGAGGGAGCACTTACAGTGGTCTGCACCTGACATTGGTGCGACCATAATGGTCCCCCAAACACATACAACATACAATACTCAGCCACCACACACAACACTCACAGAAACAGACACCAGGGCACTAGAAAGGGACTCCAATCTGACATGCATCCTAGGGCCTTGGACAACCTTTATCCAGCTCTGTAAATGCCTCTCACTTTATTTTATCCATGCATTAAACCCTTAAGGACACGGGACATGTGTGACATATCATGATTCCCTTTTATTCCAGAAGTTTGGTCCTTAAGGGGTTAAACACTGTAGTTTGAGGCAAACAGAGAAACAAAAGTAAAAACATATTTCCTTTGGAAATGGAGTCAAACCTGAAAATAGCTGATTTTAAAACCATCTTTCAGAAGCACATCTTTTTGAATATAATTAAGTTACTATTTGTCTGTCTTGCCCTTTAACAAAAATGCTGCACTATATGATAATGCCGCAAGCAATTCCCAGAAGAGATGAGCTTTTGAATGGTCTTTTGTATTAAACATAACGTGTCATTGTCAATTGCATGTGCTTTGTAAATAACTTCCAAGACGTATGCTTATAATGGACTGTTCTAGACAATAGTCTAGAAAATAGTCTGCTTCTTAGCTAGATTTAGTAAACAGTATACTATGTATAAGAAAGTGGAGGGGGGGGGAGGGGGGGAGATAATCAATCCTTTCACTACTTAGCTCTTTCTAAAACAAAGAACACCGGAAGCCAGTGTTTTGGTGGGCAATGAAAGTAATGTCACAATTTATTTCAAATGTATTATGGATATCAAGAACATGATATAAGGTAAATGATGGTGGGAGGTAACATTTAACTGGGGTGCGTAGCTATGTTCGCATACAGTTCAGAATGTTCATGAGTTCAATCGTGCAAACATAACTTATGGAGTTCTATTTTTTTTTTAATGTACATTAAATGAACCACATGTATACAATCATGGTGTTTGCCGCTTTGCACATTTCTACTTGTAGAAAATAAAGAAATACTTTTAACTGTGTGTTTGAACAATAATAATATATCATTTGCATTCCAGTTATATTTGAAAAACAGTCAGAATGGTCATTGGTCATTTAACCCCTTAAGGACCAAACTTCTGGAATAAAAGGGAATGTGTCGTTAGGGGGTTAAAAAGCACATTGGTCACCTATTTTGTTTTTCTTTTCTCCCTTTTCCTCGTTCTCTCTTTCCTCTCGTTCTCTCTCTTTCCTCTAGTAAGATTTCCTTAAAATGTCAAGCTTATTGCAGCAGTAATATGTAAAAACATTAGATGCAATAAACAGTATATGCATTTTTGAATATGGCATGGCATTTCATATAAGAGCAAATTGTGTTAAAGCATTGCCGACATTTAAAAAAATAATGTACTCTAAGAAAGCTTGAAAATCATAATGCTGTGTCCATAAATAGCATATGTCACCTTACCCATGGGAGTTTAGTTATTCAGAATCCAACAGTAAACTAGGGTTATAATTTATGTGTAAACTTTAATCTAAAACGATATATATAAATCATATTAATTTATTGCCATGTGTATATATTTTTTTGTTTATATTAACTTTATTCATTGATTTGTAACAAGTTACATGGATTATAATTTAAATAAAATAATGTTTTTTTTTTGTGTTTTAATGTTCTTTTTATCACCGTATTATCATGCCAATATAAAGCAAGATATATTTATATATGTATTGTAAAAGGCAGTGTGAGCTTATGTTGATTTTGCTAAGGTCTCCCTTCCCCTTTTTTACTGTAAAAATATATAGTTAAAGTGGCTCTGTCACCTCTTAGTACTTCATAAAAACCTAATCTTTATGAAATACTCATGCTGACATGTGTTGCAATTCCATTGAAACTCCATAGAAACATAGAATGTGATGGCAGATAAGAACCATTAGGCCCATCTAATCTGCCCAGTGTTTTAAATACTTTTTTTAGTTCCTGGCCTTATCTTATATCTAGGATAGTCTTATGCCTTATGCCTATCCCATGCATGCTTAAACTCCCTCACTGTGTTAACCTCTACCAATTCAGCTGGAAGGCTATTGCATGCATCCACTACCCTCTCAGTAAAGTAATACTTTCTAATATTATTTTTAAACCTTTGTCCCTCTAATTTAAGACTATGTCCACTTGTTGTGGTAGTTTTTCTACTTTTAAATATAGTCTCCTCCTTTACTGTGTTTATTCCCTTTATGTATTTGGATGTTTCTATCATATCCCCCCATCTCGTCTTTCCTCCAAGCTATACATGTTAAGATCCTTTAACCTTTCCTTGTAAGTTTTATCATGCATGAACCAGTTTAGTACCCCTTCTCTGAACCCTCTCCAAAGTATCAATATCCTTCTGGAGATACAGTCTCCAGTACTGCGTACAATAATCCAAGTGAGGTCTCACCAGTGTTCTGTACCATGGCATGAGCACTTCCCTCTTTCTACTGCTAATACCTCTCCCTATACAACCAAGCATTCTGCTAGCATTTCCTGCTGCTCTATTATATTGTCTGCCTACCTTTAAGTCATCTGAAATAATTACTGCTAAATCCATTTCCTTAGAGGTTGAGGTTAGGAGTGCATCTACTGTATTTCAAAGATATCGTGAGACAAGGCCTTGTGGGACCCTCCAGAGACCTCAGTGATGTACTCTCATATGTGCTGGAGAGTACAATACTAGTTACAGATGAAGTGCCTGTCACAAACGCACCCTACTTCAAAAGTGTGCGTGACGTAGTGTGGTGGTGAGAGGGTTAAAGTTCACTATTTGTCTGCACTAGACTGGAAATAATGATAAAATTCCACTTAACACCACCCACACTTAACCATAATGATATAAGTATTAATATTTCATTGCTGTCACCACCAAGACAATAAAATATATAAATGGTCCCCCGGGTAATTTCATAATAAAAACCCACCAAATATAACTTAGCACAATATCTATGTAATTGCAAAATACTAATTAGTCTCTTCGGGTAATGTGATTGTTTACCAGACAAAGGCAGAACTTTATAAAGGAATATTTATTATGAGCAAAAAATAGTCACAGTGCATACAAAAATATAGATGACAATCAAATTAATTTCACCAACAACAAATAAAAACAAAAGAGATAAAATATCAGAAGTCCTAATCACTTACTAAGGTTTTCAAAGTAAAACTTCTGCCCCGGGGTCTCTGGTAAAGAAGATGTTGACTTACTCAGAATTAGATTCTGGCCCCCAAGCAAGTCCTAATACATTTCAGAATAATTAGATATATACCCTGTGGATTACCAAGCCTGACCTAGAAGTGGAGATAAGGTGGACCTATGGAACAATAAGTGACCACCCTCTTGTGTTCCAGACTAGCATCAATGCAAATGGAAACATTTAGTTCCATCTCCACTTATGTACTTGCCACAGAAATAAGAATTGTATCTATAAATTTGTTACCATTTTTCCATTTCATAGATATGGCACTGTCCTTACTTGTGACCCAATATAGCGGACATCACAATTCCTTCCCATATGGGTGTGTTATGCAAATCATGTTTAGGCTTAAGTAGAAGATTGTGCTTGTCCCATTCTAAATATAATAAAAATGAGGCTTAATTATTATTCTGTGGGTAAGTAAGAAACTATATATAAGTTTCATTTGGATATGATACTGGAACACAAGGCTAGTGATCATTAACATATCAACAAGATTAACTCATCAATTAAGAGGTAGAGGCCATTTGGCTGAAGTCAGCTAGTTTACATTGGAACTAGACATCCAGACATTTCAAGTGTAGAATATCACACCCTGCAGAGCCTTTGATTAATCAAAGGATCAATCCATGTTGCAAACCATCTGACCCCCTTCATATTCCTATACCATTTACATTCTGTCATCTGACCTTGCAACCAAGTGGCCACTTCATATATGCACTATACAAATTACATTAAATGGCAATATTCTATTGTGCAAATTATGCACCTTTGGCGTGACAGTGCCAGGAGCCCAAGAAGGTTTCCAGGAAGAAAATGGCAATGGCAAAGGAATGAATATAGGTAAGTAAATCTACCTTCCACTACACGTTGTAGTCATCAAACACTAACTGGAGATGCCACCTTCTTGAATCTCAAAAAATGCAAAGACTCCAGAAATGTTGATCCAATTTAACTTACCTCTAATCCATTCCACCTCAGGAAATCATAACTAGTAATAATCTCCTCTTCATTCCAATGCATCTCACAAAGAATTGTAAGACACGACACTGCATGGCAATTGTTGAACTGTGAGTAGTGTTTCTCACAGAGAAGTATTGAACCAAAAGCATTGCTATGAGTATGAGGCACTGACTTACGCTTTGTGCTAGGAGACAAAATAATCAGAAATAGCACCCTCTCTCTGCCTGATTAACTGTTGGGAAGGTGAAACTTAAAGGGACACTGTAGGCACTGTATCTGCTTCATCTCATTAAACTGGTTATAGTGTATGGAGTCTTCTGGTCCCATCTTTTCTATCAGCATTAAACAGTTTTTAAAGTTTTAATGCTAGACAAGAGTCCCCGGCAATCCATCCCCTCTGTGCTGCTTTGGGTAATAAGGAAGTATTAGCCTGAGCAGAAATGGGCAGCTGTGATTGGCTGAGAGTGTCAGCTGACTGCTTTTAGCCTGTCAGAGTTCCAACTGACGGTATGAGTGGGTATGATAACAAGGAAGTGTGTAATCTCTGCCTTAGCTACACATACTGAAGGGGCCGGACTGTAGGTGGCCAGGGACTCTTATTTTGTGGCATACTGCACGAACATGGTGCAACACTGAATGGAGGGACAGTGCCAGGGTACTCCAGGCACTATAACCAATTCAAAGAGATGAAATGATTATAGTGACTACAGTGTCCCTTTAAGTGCTTTGTAAAAGTACTGGTTCCTTCTTTCTTTCTTTCTTTCTTTCTTTTTTTAACATTGTGCAAACTTGTGCTTTGATAAAGTCAATATCACCATATTGGCAAATAACCTTCCTTCTGAATTAGCATAATTGTTATTACACATTAATCAATTATGCTTACAGGTAAGATATGTGTAATTAACCTAGTGTTTAATAAAGGGTGTGTTTCTTTAAAATAGTAAAGAAATGACATTTCAAGTGTTTTGCGCATGTGTGTTGTTATGATGTTAGTTCTGCTCATGTGCAAATTTTGCGGGCTGTGGATAATTGATAGTAAAGTGTTTTTTTCTGCTCTTTATCAAGTCATTCTTAGTGTTAAATTCACTATTCAGATAATAAGTCGACAACATTTTTCTGTAAAGATTGTGATCTCTTTGTTTAACATAAAGTACAGGTTATTTTTAGTGGTAAAAACAATAAAAAATGTTTAGCAGAGGGTGACTGTGATCTCTTTAATATTGATATTATCTCAGGTTAGCTCTGGCACTCAAATAGTAAGTATTTAGTATAAAATAACTTAAAGGACTTAATGCATGAAGAATGTGTTCTCTTTATTTCATTTTACACAAATTAGATTTCAATAGAAATTGGCACTTTTATAAATTAACAACTGGTCCAATCACTTCCTGGTTTGGGTAGCTCAGTGGATCTAAACTCAAGAGGGAAGCATTTACTCAGAGCATCTGCCTTGCACATTCTTCTCATTGAGCTGCATTGGGAAATCTGTGATTGGACAGCCACACAAGTCTAGGTTGTGTTAGAATGGGAGGGCTTTAGACAACAGATCTGTAACTTTTGCAAGCTATTTTTAGATCTACTCCCAATTAATAAATACATAATTAAATGCATGCCTGTTTTCACTGAGGGTATCTCTATTAAACAGTGATTTATTGTAAACAATGGAGTGCCTCTTTAACTTTAATATATAACTGCAATGATATTGTAGTAATATAATTAATATTTCAGTATGAGACTAATTCTGAAGGAATCTTTTTTTGTTATTTTTATATATACTTTTTTATATATTTTTCATTCAAGCTTAAAAAGAAAGTCACTGGCCATATATTTTTTAATCAGCACATTTAGTTTGAATTAATAACTGTATTGCATTTCCAGATTTATAGAGAGGTTGCACCTTATACTGTTTTATATTCATGACTGAATGGAAAAAAATCAATCACTTGCCAAAAATGGCTGAGAGCGAGCTCAGTTATTCCAAGAAACTTTGAAAACTGTTTAGATAAGTTCGTGAATGTGTTGTGTATTTTTTTTATATATTTTTTTCGAACTGTGTGAGTGGTACAGAATGCATGTGTAATATTATGAAAGTGGTATGTATAAAGTGAGCATGATGTTGGGAAGCAAAAGAGATTCTGTGCAGGTTGAAAAATAATGAGGTGGATACAGAGTGATTGCGAGGATGTGGGTTCTCTCTTATGAGAGCAACAGCTTGTGTTGGCAGAAACATTTTCATAAAAAGAATGTGGTTGTATTTTTTTTTAAATAGATTTACACTTTCCTCTCTTTCATTCAGTTTTGAATGTGAAGCCCTTGTTTGCTAGCTCGAGCCAATCTATGGCTTTATGTATGCTGAAGGGATGATAAGATTTAAGAATTCAGGAATTTGTTGGATAATATATCTTTTACTAATCAAATATTTTATATCTTTTACTTATCAAATATATACAAATATTTAAACCTTGATACATAACTGCAAATTATGGATTTAAAGTGGCTCTGTCACCTCAAACTTAACATTCTCCTATTGTTTCCTCTTCTCTTCCTCTTTCTCTAACTCTTCTTATTTTCTTAATTTCTCCTCTATTTATTTTTAAAACACAAGACAAAGTAGAGACTACTTTGTCTTATGTAATTTTCCTGTGCTTGACAATTGTGACAAAAGGCAAGCTCAACTTCCTTTGTCAAGCTAACTAGCCCAAAATACTCACATCTATCCTGTTCTTCCTATGTTGCCTCGCAAGATTTTCTAGCTATACGCATGCCCAGTTCCATTTTCATCACTCACAGCTTACTGTCGCATATTGTGGGCAGGCAAAAGCAGTGACCTTATGTCACTGCCAGCAGTTAGAAGATAGAGGTGCCGGGAATCAGGATCCGGCGCCACGAAGTGGAGTGCAATTTGAGGTGGAAGGGGGATTTATTAAGTAAAATATATTAAAATTCGAAAGTTAGGGGATAAGCTGTTAGGAGAAGAGTTTAAAAAAACCAAAAAAAAACCCAGTAAAGTGTTACTGTGTGACAGAGCCTCTTTAAAGAGGGGAAATTTTTCTTATGCCAAAGTCAGCTCAGTTGACTTCCTACATGTATGCCTGGAAATCCTAGCCAATGGTCTTCGATGGAAGGAATGCGTAAAATGCGTGCAGTGTTCTGTGATGTATCTTGTAACAGAGGACTTGTAAATAAGAAGGTGATGCCTTATTACTCTGCTGCTCTTTTACAAGTCAGAAAAAATATGCAAACTGTCCAATGACCTTGTCTTTAACCTGAGTAGTTTTAAACTGGGTAAGGGAATCCATTGAGTATTTTGAGTTCATTAAATAATGATGATTTTTCTAAAATGGATAATTTGACTTGTTTATTATTATAAACATTATTTGTTTTGTTTATATTTTGTTTCTGGGTTTCCACACTTCAATACTCGATGAAGTAATCAGTATTGCAACCTCGACACCAACCGTATCGATCTGCTTTGTTTAAAGCAAAAAATGTTTTGAGAAAAAGAACAGTAGGATATTAACTTTTATATACATCACTATTCTGTGATAACCTGTTTAAAGTCCTATTGGATGCGTAAGCAATTACATTTATTTTAATTAATTCTTGAGAGGGATATCACCAAATATTTGGCATTATAGGATTATATAGTGTGATATAACGCTAAAATACCTCTCGGATTTAAATGGTGATACTTTCTGAAAGTGATCGGTTAGGTTAGGATGGACTTGGTGGTTAGGTTAGAAAATGTTAGTTGACATGTTAGCTAGCACCTTCTTATTAGGCCCTTCTTGGATAAATTTGCAACGACTTCATCTGAAGTAAAAAAAAAATTATTTTTTTATGTTTTATTTTTTATTAGCTTTTTTCGTTGTAACTCCTGTGTCATTACAGTACATCGTGCGAATATAACAATGAGTTACAATACAAAACAGAAAAAAGAAAGAGTAACCAATAACATATAGTATCGCAACATCGCATAAATATAAATCTGAAGTACAATCACCAAAGCATTGATATTTGGCCTATCTGTAAGGTATTTGCATAGCTAATTATCCCGCACCCCTCCTGCTTCTCCAAAACCCCCGTGTGGGTTAAATGCAGTTGTAGGGTTCGTGCTGTGTTTGGTTAAAACGTCTCCCTTCCCTTGATATCCCGAGATGTTCGCATTTGGACCGATGGGAAAGGGGGGCTGACGACCGTCTCCTCTACCTCTCCCTGATCTATTATACTGCCCCGGCCCCGATCCGGTCTACAGGATCCCCCTTGGGTCGAGATGTGATAATGTGTGCTTGGTCTTATGCATGTTTTCCCCCCAAAAAATGTTTCCATGGTTGCCAAATGTTATGGTACCTATGGTACTGATCTAGGGACCCCCATCTCAGTTCCTCCATCTGAAGTAAATATTGTATCAACAGAAGTTGGTATGGGGGTGCAGTTGGGATCAATAGTGGTCCCTGTGGAGTTGGGGAGGGATGCATCCCTTTCAACCTCATTAATATATGTTGTTCTAATGGAACAATTGCTGTAGGGGAGTAAATGACTCACTTTTATGTAAATGAAACTTGCATTGGTCTTTAATAATATAATTATCTTCCATCTACACATTCTGGTGGTTTGTTCTTGTTGAATTCTCCTTTTACACACTGGAACCTAAGAACGAATGGTTGTGGAACAGGTCCTACTTACCAAGAAGGAGACAAAATGTTCAGTTACCAGCCATAGATGTAGTTGAATGATCCTCGAATAAAATGCCACAAATTCATGTAAGAAAAGACACAGCAGTAAAAACTATCTCCCACTGCAACTACAGTTACAAATTGAAGGGTTCTGTCCCACTGACCCATTTTTGTTAACTTGTGCCCTGCATCCAGGGGCACCAGGGAACTATCTTTGGGTAGCACAACGTGAGCATGTTATTAAAACACTTGGACCCTGGTTTGTTATTGCAAATAGGCCATCTGTTCCCTCTGTTTCCACTCACCCAAAGGATGATCTCCATTTTTTTATGACCTGTAAGATGTTTTTCTTGGGCCCCATGACCCATAGAACAGGCTATGATCCCTTGTTACCATTGTTTTTCCAGTATATTACTCTGTGACTCAGTCTGTTTGTGAATATGAATTTTATATGTCTGAAATGTACACTTTATAACAGCATGCAGAAATGGCATTTTTACAAAGATGT